AAATGATTCAAGGTATCTTCGTTTTATTGTTCTAGAAAGTGATTCAAAGTCACTTCATTTTTCAATATAGATTTTTTTTTTGAGATGACTACTTTTGGATTTTAAGAATAAATGTTAGTTCTTACATCTTTTTTATAAGAAACAATTTCTCTACGGTGTTGTCTCTAAATATACAAAAACAAGTTTGAAAAATTTAAACCAGTCTCTCTACTTTTACCCAGTTAAATATGCTATTTATGATCTCTTTGCATTAAATTTTCACTCATTTCTCTCATATACTCTCTTTACAAATTTGAATATAATTGAAAAATATGTATATATCTGGCACATTTATTGCTTTTAATTAAATTTAACTAACATTTTGAATCACATGATTTTAATAGTCATTTCTTATAATAAGTGACAAATGAACTAAATGATAATGAGAACTAAACATACTACAAATCAATATTAAAATTCTTGTTAGGAGAAATACCTATGTTAAACGTCCAGTAGTGTCCCGAACAAAATTATGGAGTAAACAACCTTTTACAGGTTTAACTGTGGCGAAATAATTAAAAACAAAATAAAAATTATTATAGATGCATTTCTGTCTTAGTGTGAGTAAATTAGATGTAAGTTTGATTGAAAAAAATCGTGGACCGTGGAATAATATGTGCATATTTTTAATCATGTCACGTAATTAAGCAAACACACACCGACAGACCAGCTGTAATTGATCCAATCTGTCTGCTGTGAGCTTGGCAAAAATTCGCTCAAAACAATCCAAAATACCAAACAATAATTCGGATATTTTTAATACTCTTTCATATATCTCTCTGACGCGCACACTCACAAATATTACATGATACGATAAATGCCAGCTTGAATATATGTTCAAATTTGGACTTATATAGCCGTCACTATACCCTCTCCAGTGCTGTTCCCTTCATTAGGTTTTATTATTTGCGTAAAATACACAATAAAATCAATGTATATCTCTTGAACCGTATATAATATATTATCAACTAAACTGTATTATTCATGTCCCGCGAAAAAGGCCAGATGAGGTTTGCATATGAATGACTGGGACCTTGTGTCTTAAAAAATTATCCAAAAGTGTCTGGGAAAATCTAATAATACAGGTTGAAGACCAATTAATTCCTCCTCACATTCATAGTTTTGCCTTTGGTTATGTCAAAAAAATGCTTCCCCCCTTTATCATGATGCTTGTCACTCTTTCATGGAATTTAGAGTTCTTATTATTATTTTCCCATTTGTACATTATTGTGATATGTCCTATAACGTCCAACTACATATATTTTAACCTGCTTAGTCACCTTAGTCCATCTGATTTAGAGTGTTTAGCCTGGATGACACAATATATATAAAAATTAATTAATTTTTATAATTATGATTAGACTAATTGATGTAACCGCATGCACCAATTTAATTCAATTAATTTAATTATTAACGGTGGGAATACATTGTGATATCGTAGTGCGGATAAACTGAATTGTGGCAAAATTAATCAGGTACTAATAAGACTATATATATATAATTAAAACCAATCAAGCTTTGTGGCGGAGAATATGACAATAGTGCCCACTCGATCCAATACGTGTTCAGATTTGGACGTATTACGTATGAAGACATTTGGTCACACATAGCCACATGCAAACCTCAACAACTTATTCTCAAATAAACAACGTTCCTTCCTCATCAAGTTCTCTTTTCATAGAATATATATCCATTATTGTAATTCCGTATCTCTTAAACTATATTTTATCAAACTATAGTATTTCCCCAAGTTGACAAACGCGAATTCATTTATGAAACTACGGAAAATCTTCTATTATTTGTTAAAAAATAAAACTACCTGTAGAGTTCTAGTTAAATTTATATATAGGTCCATTCACGATGAGTAAGTGGGAAAAAAAAAAATTGAATGTCTGCTTTGGATGTGCGCTACTACTACATCTGATCCTTAATATAAAAAGCTAGTTGACTAATTTGAATAGATTAAAAAAATTAGTTAAATTAGTTATTTGTAATAAATAGATGTTGTTTTTCCTAAAATATTCTTATTAAACAAGTGTATTAGCTAGAACTACCATTATTACAAGAACTACTTTGAAAAAAAAAAGGATGAATATGAGAGACAAGATGGATTAGGGTTTTATATTTACGACCAAAATAAAAATTAAACGAATTCTTATATTAAGGACCAAAGGTAGTATATAAATATCCAGCAATACATGGACAAAATAGACACCAAATATATTAATCCCATATTTTGGTCATATTAATAATTACTACCTCCGGTCCTCATTATAAGAGCTAGTTGACTAATTTGAAGAAATTAAGGAAAAAAAAGTTAAGTTAGTTATTTGTAATAAATATGTGTTGTCTTTCCTAAAATATCCTTGCTAATCAAGTGTATTGGCTATAACTACTATTGTTAAAAAGACTACCTTGAAAAAAAATGTATAAATATGAGAGACAAAGTGGATTGAAGTCTTATATTTAGGACTAAAATAAAAGTCATACAAGGTCTTATATTAAGAACCGGAGGTAGTATCAGTATTAGTTGTCACCATCTATACTTATGGAAAGGAAACTGTTGGTCAATTAGCTAGTAATTAAGTAATTGTTAATTGAATGTGTTCTTTTCATTCAGATGCAACAAAATTTGGTTGTTGCATATTTGTCGTTTCTCCTGAACTCATTCGAAGGGATTAAATCAATTAACACATTAAAGTCAATGTTGGTACTCTTAAACATGAGACTTATTTAATGGATATGGTTTAGTTCTAAATATCAATTTTGTCTTCCTCACTTAATACTACTTCCCATCCTTAGTATAAGTACTAGTTGAACTTTCAATTTGATCATAAATATATTACTCAAATATACTTTGTCTATCATATTTATCTATTTTTTTTAAAGTAGTCATTCTAGTAGTTGCACACGTTAAATGTCCATCAAATAATAGTTCTAACTAATACATATGATTAATAAAGATATTTTAGGAAAGATAATATATATTTATTAGAAATATCTAACTTAACAAACGTTTTTAATCTACTCAAATTAATCAGGCAGCTTTTATATTAAAGACCGTATGTAATATACTTTTTCATGTTAATTATCCTCGTTAATTTCAAAGGTTTTTCTTCATCTCTTTTCTCCCACATTTAATAACCTTGTTAAAAGATGGATATTTTAAAAAAGAATAATGATAAATAACTAACTTAATTGGTTTTAGTAATTTTGTAAATTAATTAAATAAGTTTTATAGTTAAGATGGGAGAGAATAATTACGTTAATGATTAAATCTCAATCAAGTATATACATCTCTTGGAGATATATAGTGATTGTGCCAGTAGCATTAACTAACTACGTGAAGCACAAGTCAGTTTGGCTAAGGTGAAGTTTCAGAAAACTTGGAGTGCAAGAATGTTGCGGATTCAACATTTATCGCTTTCATACATACACACTTTGACTCTTCTACAAATATGTCAATTTCTTGCTAGTTCCATCATTATTGATTGTAAGTTAGATATTGTGTAGTTTTTATATTTTAATTTTATGATACATCAAAGTGATTTTGTGCCTTTATCATGGTACTCGCATGATTATTAGAACGGGAAAATATTTTTCCTCATGATTTTTTGGTCCAACTTTTCCATAACTCTACTTCACGTGTTTAAATTTGGTTCACATAATGTGCTTATTGCATATTTCATACGCAACACTATTTAAGTACTGTTATTTTATTTTATATTTTTTAAGTTAACATATTATTTATTTTATGAGCTAATAGTTTTTACAAGCTTGACATTATTTTGTACTCCTTCCGCTTTTTATTATAAAATCTAATTTTTTGAACAGGTTTATTCCTTTTTATAAGATCATCTTTAAGTTTATCTGAGCATTTAATATAGTATTTCCTATTTTACCCATAATTTAATGTATTTAATATATTTTTTCTTCATTTATCTCACTATTACTTTCTCACACTTATCCATTTATGTATAGGGGTATATTTCAAAAAAACTGCAGTTGCTACATATTAATTGCTTTTAACTAATTTTAACTGTTTTTTTAAACTGCCTAATTTAATTAAAAAGATCTTATAATAAAGAATGGAGTAGTACCTCAACATTGTATAATATTGAAATTTAGTTATAAATGAAAATGAACCGTACGTTCAAATTTCATCCGGTCCAAATGAGCCTCGGCTCAAATGGCATAACCCGGCCCCACTCATCTTGTTGGGGAGGTTGAAGGATTAATTCTCAGGGGAGAGTTAGGATAGGTCTATTAAAAAAAAAATTGCATGCTTTTATACAGAATAAAAGAAATAAGCATACAATTTCCCCGTGCACCGCCCATCCGGCATCCGATATCCATGATTCGTTATAATCCAAAATTTCGGCTAAAAAAAGAAAATCGTACAGAATTGTATTTAGAAAAAAAATCATATTTTAATTTCTTCCTTGTTCAATCCAATTCCTATCCCCTTGCGCCTTTTCGGCCCTCTCCTTTCTGTTTTCAGTTATATTCGCCTACTTCTCCTTGATCCCTCAGCAAAGACTTCACTTTCAATATTCAAATTCCACTCCCACTTTCCAATCCCTTTATATTATCAGTCCTATACCACACCGTATCAATCTCACAGTATTAATCTTCCTCCTCTCTCCTCAATCTTCAAATTATGTTCTCTCCACGTCCTGAGATGCTGAAGAATTGTCTAGCATCTTGAGTCACCAACCCACATCTCCTGAAAATGAGGGAGGAGGACTTCAGGGAATTCATTCTTTTTTTTTATATAAAACCATCCGGTATCCAAACGCGCTTTTTCTGGGCCCCAGCCTCTTTGGGCCAGTTGTACCCGAGCGATCGACTAGTCCGGATTCGGGCCGGACGACAAGTAAAGCCCTCTCCGGTACCCTTTTTAACAAGTGAGGATTCGAACCCCCGCCCTCAAAAAGAGCAGAGACTCGCCTCACTTGATGGAAATGCATGCTAACTTTGCAATACTGGCTTTTTATGTTCTGGGAATCGAATTTCATTCTCCCACACTGAATTTCAATTAACATGCTTGAATTTGATCTTTTGAGAAGTTGAAATTTAGTTTTCGGCTTGTTTGGCTTCAATAATGGCACTAGCTCCTCTTCCAAAAGTGATTCTAGGTTCATTTGCCTTTGCAATCTTCTGGGTGTTGGCAGTTTTCCCTGCTGTGCCTTTCCTTCCCATTGGGAGAACTGCAGGGTCCCTTTTAGGTGCCATGCTTATGGTCATCTTCCAAGTTCTATCTCCAAATCAAGCTTATGCTGCCATTGATCTAGAAATTCTGGGTCTTCTTTTTGGGACAATGGTCGTGAGTGTATATCTTGAGAGAGCAGACATGTTCAAGTACTTGGGGAAGTTACTGTCTTGGAAAAGTAAAGGGGCAAAGGACTTGCTTTGTCGAATCTGTCTGATTTCTGCTATCTCAAGTGCTCTCTTCACTAATGACACTTCTTGTGTTGTTTTGACTGAATTTGTATTGAAAGTTGCAAGGCAGCATAATTTGCCTCCCCATCCATTGCTCCTTGCTCTTGCTTCAAGTGCTAATATTGGCTCCTCCGCAACACCAATAGGCAACCCCCAAAATCTGGTAATAGCCGTTCAGAGTGGCATATCATTTGGTCAATTCTTGATTGGGATTCTTCTTGCTATGCTTGCGGGGATTGTTGTGAATGCCTTGATTCTTCTGTCCATGTATTGGAAGTTATTGTCTACTCATAAGGATGAAGAAGATGCTGCCGTAGAAGCTGTAGCAGAAGAGGAGGTCAATTGTCATAGGTTTTCTCCGGCCACAATGTCTCACTTGTCATCCCACAATTCTCGAGAATCGAACAATTTAGAATCTGTCAGCAGTATTCAAAACTCTCCGCAGGTTCAGAGTCTGAGAAACCGTGGAAACTCAGGTGAAGTTCATTTGGCATCCAACAACTCAGTGGATTCTGCAAGAAACTCAAACGCATTAAAGGATGAGATAAATGGCATGACTTCCCACACAAGGGATGAGAACAGCCATTCAGAGGAATTCGCAGTTGCAGATAGACCAAGTGATACAAACTTCTTCGAAGGAAATGACCTTTTCAACCCACAATGGAAACGCATAATCTGGAAAGCTTGTGTTTGCACGATCACATTAGGAATGCTAGTTGCTTTGCTAGTGGGAATGAATATGTCATGGACTGCAATTACGGCTGCGCTGGCTTTGGTGGTTCTTGATTTCAAAGACGGTAGGCCATGCTTGGAGAAGGTAAAGGCTGTAACTAGCAAGAAACGCCAGATACGCTTATTCTGTTGCCCCATGAATATTATGCAACTGCTTAGGACTGATTTTCCCCTTGGAACAGGTTTCATATTCACTTCTGGTATTCTTCTGTGGAATGTTTATAACGGTAGATGGCTTCAATAAAACTGGAATTCCAAGTGCTTTTTGGGACTTGATGGAGCCCTATTCTAAAGTAGATAGTGCCAGTGGAATAGCAGTGCTCGCCATAGTCATCCTTGTCCTGTCAAATTTGGCTTCAAATGTACCAACAGGTACGTTGACAAATTTCCTTCCATTATAATTATACCATATGTTTTATTTATTTCTTCTGTTTTGATTCTTCATGTCATATGACTTATATCATATTACTTTTGTGTCAAAATTGAATGCCTTCAACATTTTAGTTTGGTAATCTGACTGGTAGTTTCTGTGTTCACCATGTCCAGGTAGTCAAATCTTTTTTTATACAAATTAATAAAGCATTTGAAATTCTATGCTAAGTTTTTTTTTTTAAGTCGAATGTAGGCTTGGACATTGTCAAAATGGCAAGTCCTATCATTTCTGCCAAAATTTTTCGCATGCAGGAAGTCAAGTGCTTGCTGCAAAACATTGAGAAGGAGCTAGACTTTTAAACATTGTAAAAGGCAAAGCTCACTTCTGTTGGATGGCTTTCATTCCCAATGTAATTGACTGAGTGATTTTGAGCTGCCACAAGCTATAATTTCATAAAGGACAGCGGCCTTTTGTGGCAGTGATAACCTGTTACAAATTGAAGAAAAAATTAGCCAAAAGTTCAGCTTTTGACAATTTCTTGGAAATGCAAGCCAGTAAATTGTTCTGATATGTAGTTTGACCCACCCTCTAAACCAATAGAAGCTGTGCGCTCAGCGAAAATTTGCAAATCATCGAAACATGATCTATAACACTAAAATTCAGTGATTCTGTGTCATTGGTTGGGGAGTCTAGGGTCCTAACTCATCAGCTTATGTGCAACTGTAGATAGTCTTTGAGCTTGAGCCTGCATTCACTCTTGAGGTTACTTGCACAGATCAAGAACTAATGTTCCGATTACCCTTTGCTCATGTAGTTACTTGATATGCAGAAAAGAACATAATTGATTTCACCTAATGAAAGCCTGATAATAACATTATGGATGATTGTGCTATATAAAATGTGATCTAGCTTATCATTTTGTGAAAGATATTTAAGTTGAATAATTTGAATCCACCTAACTTAGCTAGGCCAGGCCTCATAGGTATAAGCTGTGATGTAAAAAGCCAGTTTGATCTTGTGCGTCATATGCATATCTGAGATGAATATTGTTGTGCTGTGATTTCATATGAATAGTTCTGTTGCTGGGGGCGAGGATTGCAGCCTCGGCTGCTGCAATCTCAAGTGAAAAAGAGAAGAAGGCATGGCTCATCTTAGCATGGGTGAGCACAGTCGCAGGAAATCTGTCCCTCTTGGGATCAGCAGCGAACTTGATAGTGTGTGAGCAAGCTCGCAGAGTACCTGACCTTGCTTATAATCTGACCTTCTGGAACCATCTCAAGTTTGGACTCCCTTCTACTCTCGTGGTCACCGCCATCGGTTTGATCCTTATCAGATGATGCATGTATCATACACGCACCTTCTTTTTTTTTTTTTGGGGAAAAAAGTTAGTTTACACATTTATCTGGGATTTGGTGTTATTGAATTAGATTCAATATTATCGGGTTCTGAATGAGGGTAACTCTTTTAAGTGGTTTTTTAATTATGGACAAGCTTTTAACCATAATCCACCTCGTTTGAAAGAAATTAAATCCTTCCTGACTGATCCAACCACAGTCGGTTCACACACACACGACTTTGTCTCTCTTTGGTTTCAATAGAAATCAGAAGCATGAAATGTGTATATATCTATGTGGGTGGGTTCAGGAACATTGAGCATGGGATTAGTTTCAGATGGTAAGTACATTTTCATAGTACAAGGAATTTCCTATGGTTAGAGTACATCCTTTGGAAAGCATTAATACAGAGGATTCTTTGGCAGAAAGGAAAGAAGAATGCAAAAATTAGTCTACCTGAGTTGAGAAATGTTAAAGGTGGATAAGTTTGAAGGTTTGGTGAGTAAAAGTACAAGGAAGATCATATAAAACTTTTGTTATAAAGTGATTTCATCGTACAGAAATGTATTGGAAATTGATCGATGGTCCATCAACGTGAGTGGGCCAACTTTACTTTTCACAGCCTTCGCTTTTAAATATTACCTCCGATTCTAATTATAAGAGTCAGTTCACTAATTTGAAGAGATTAAAGAAGTAAATTAAGTTAGTTATTTGTCCTAAATATGTGTTGTCTTTCCTAAAATATCATTGCTAATCAAGTGTATTAACTATAACTATTATTGTTAGAAGGACTATTTTAGAAAAAAAAATGTATAAATATGAGAGACAAAATGGATTGGGATCTTATATTTAGGGCTAAGATTAAAGTCAAATAGGGTCTTATATTAAGGACTGGAGGTAGTAACATTATCTGAATGTCTAATATAAATTTTTATTCTACACATTGATCAATAAGAGAATTGCAATTAGGTCTCGAAAAAGAGATTTAATTATCTTAAAGTCTATTAGTAAGTGAAAAGTAAATAATAGCAAGTTTTAGAGTAGAGAATAACAACAGGTTCAGGCTTTGTCATTAAAATTTTTTTGTAATTAAATTGTTTTTGGAGACCTCATAGTAATTCTCTTTGATCTAATGCAACAAAAAAACAGTGTGTCTTCATTAATTGTGAAAGACATATAAACCTTTCAATATTTGAATTGATTAATAAGCATAACAGATGGTTTAATCTTCCCACGATTAATAAAATGATGTGTGTTATTTTAGCTGCATCAAACGTGTATCACAGAAACTTGCATTAGACATCCACAATCCGTTTAACTGCAGAGGATGGAGAAGAACAAGGCACGTGATTGAAGTATAATTTTCAAAAGTTTGTTACTGTGTTATTAAATAAAACAGAGTGTAAAGATGTATTATAGGTTGATACTATATGGTTTAATCTTTTATTAAAAAAACTTGTTATAATTTTCTTAAATGACACACACAAATCTGGCAAAAAAAAAAATTGATACACGTAAATTATCATCTAAATCTTGTGTAATGATTAATCTCGTATACTGCCCATATGAAATAGAGTCTCCCCATGAAATGTTATGAAAAGAATAATTCAAAAATAAAGTAAGAAATAATTAAATATTAATCAAATTTTAGTATGACGTAGAGAAATGATGGCGTGCATATGATTTTTCTATCCTTGTTTACTTTTTCTTCAATCTGTAATTATGATATTTATAATTAATTTGCAAGTGGAAAGGATGTGATGGCATTCTCAACATATGCTCCCATCGGGGGCAGCCAGAGTAATAATTAATTGAATTGTTGCCAAAAGAATTTAGTTTATGTAGTGAAAAATATTATGTTGTCTCTTTTTTTTAAAATTTTTTCTTTTTTTAATAATAGTGTTAATTATTGTGTCTCTGTCAATGATGCTTTATGTTTCTATAACCGCAAGCAATTCTTAACACGGTTTAGTGGATGCCTGTTATTCTTGAAGCTTCCCTCCATCACTTGATAAATAAACATGAGACAAAATTTGAAAAAATGAATCATGCTATTGTAGCTCATAAATAATACAATATATATTATACTACCTCTTGTTCTATAAGGATATTTTAGAAAAAATAATATCTATTTATTACAAAAATCTAATTTAAATAATTTTTTTAAATTTATTCAAATTAATTAACTAGTTTTTATATTAAAAACCAGAAGCAGTATTTAAAATTAGTACTAATTGGATTGGAATTTCGTAATTTGCATAAAATCTAAGATAAAATAACTAAAACGTTTTTTTTAATTTTATATAAGCACTAAATACCAATCAATAATAAATTATCGATCAATAAAAAAATTAAAGTAAATAATATTCTTCATAATTATGAACAATGCAATGCAGGGAAAAAAAAATGAGGAAATTTTGGACATTCTTCATAATATTATTGGGCTTTGATGGCCCAGAAATAAGTAAATGGGTTTTTTCCCTACCGAACGAGCCCATATGAAACTTGGGCTTGATAACACACAAGCCCATTGTGCCACCCCTTATCGGGGCATCTTTCATGGCAATAATAATCACTAATCTGCAATCTTCCCTGCATCTTTATTACCTTCGTCAAAGTCATATTGATTAAATTTGTAAACTATTCAGATAAAATCTTTTATATAATACTACTAATGAATTTTTAAATACAGGCTTAAATTGAATCCTAGTTGACTTTAGGAGTTAGAATTACGCTATTTTCCCCCAGAAAAACATGCTCTAATTAGTACAATGCAGCGAATTGAGTACTTAAAATCCTTCAATGGCTGGGGCTTTCTTAGTTGATTAATTCATTTAAAATATCGGAGCTTGTTGGAATCTTAACTTGAGAGCATATATCTGATAGAACGTAGCTACCAGTACATGTGAGAATAATTGATCATGCGCACATAATTAAGTTGTTGGTCCTTCATATAAATGGTACGTACATAATGAACTACTCAAGCCAGAATCGTTCGTATAATTCATCAAGTGCGTGTGTGTGGAGGTACTAAATTAACCTGGAGATTTATTTATTTTTACAATTGTATGTGATTAGACTGATTGATGTAACCATATGTACTGTTCAACACATATAATCACCATTTTAATTTAATTATTAACGGTTGGAACAAATTGTTAAAAGTCGTGACGGATGAATCGAATTGTCGCAAAACTAATCAGGCACCAATAGGACTATACGCATATTTAAAAGCAATCAAGTTCCGTACTCTCGCGTGGTGAAGAATGTGATAATATTTAATGCCAACTTGATCCAATTACGTGTTCAGATTTCGACGCATAGCAACGTGCAAACCCCAACGAGATATTCTCAAAACAACGTTCCTTCCTCAAGTTCTCTCTCAAACTATATTTTAATTTATCGAACTATAGTATTTCCACGACTTGAAGTCGTTATTTTTTTTTAAAAAAAAAATAAAGCCAACTTGATCCAATTATTGTTGTTAATTGAATATGTTCTTTTCGTCCAGATGCAACAAAATTTGGTTGTTGTATATCTGTCGTTTTACTTTTGAACTCATTCTAAGGGATTATCAATTAACACATTATAATTCAACATCAAGATACTCCGTTCAACTTAAACACTATCTCTGGTCTTTAACATAAGAGCTTGCTTGACTTTCAATTTGGTTCTAAATATAAGACCCCAATCTACTTTATCTTTCATATTTGTCCATTTTTTTTAAAAACTTGCGATAGTTATATATGTTAAAAGTTTCGTCAAATAGTAATTCTAACTAACATATATAATTAGTAAGGGTATTTTAAAAAAGATAATAACTATTTATAATAGATAACTAACTTAACTAATTTTCTTAATCTCCTCAAATTAGTTAGCTATGTCTTATATTAAGAACCTGGTGTAGTATAAGACTTAATTGATGTGCTGGCCTCTTGTTTAATACTACTTCCGATCCTAAATATAAGAGCTAGTTGACTAATTTGGAAAGATTAAGAAAATAAGTTAAGTTAGTTATTTATAATAAATAGGTGTTGTCTTTCCTAAAATATTTTTGCTAATCAAATGTATTGGTTAAAACTACTATTATTAGAAGGACTACCTTGAGAAAAAATGTACAAATATGAAAGATAAAGTGGATTAAGATGTTATATTTAGAACCAAAATAAAAATCAAAAGAGGTCTTATATTAAGGACTGGAGATAGTATATTTTTCCATATTATCCTTGTTGATTTTAAAGTTTTTATAATCCGTTTTGCCCTGCATTTAATAGCTCGTTATTTTAAAAAAAGATAAATAACTAACTAAATTAATTAAAATGCTTTATATTTTGTGATTATTAGGATAGCATATGCAATTGAAGTGGACCTAACTTTGCTTTAATTGACTAAGTGAAGCGCAAGTCAGTTTGGTTAAGGTGAAGTTTCAGAAAACTTGGAGTGCAAGAATGCTGGGAGTTCAACATTTTTATCACTTTCATACATATGCACTTTGATTCTTCTACAAATACGTTAATTTCTAGCTAGTTATATCATTACCAATGTAAATTAAATCAAGATATTTTGTAGTTTTTATTTTAATTTTATGATACTTCAAAGTCATTTTGTGTCTCTGTTCATGAAACGCGCTCGCATAATTATTATCAGAATGATGAATTATTTTTTTTCTCATGATTTTTTTGGTTGAATCCTTAACTCTACTTCGCGTTTTTACATTTGGTTCACATAATGTGCTTATTGCATATTCCATATGCACCAAAAACTAAATCCTATTGTTTTATTTTTATGTTTCTTAAGGTAGCTTATCTATCCATATAACCTATAAACCTTGTGACTCATTTGTGATTGGTCCACACAGGTGGTGTTTTCTTTTGAGTTTTATTGGTCTTTGGTTAGTCATGTCATCTTGTTCGGTTAGCCGGTGATTTCTTTTGAGTTTTATTGGTCTTGGTTAGTAATGTCACCGCGTTTGGTTGGGTGTTCTATCCATGTCATTCCATCATTCTTGATGCATGCATCTGTTTTAATTGTTTTGTTTCCATTCATTGTTGGCTGTTGCGTTTTCTTTTGTTTTTGGAGAGTGCTTATCTCGACGTTCCTGTATCCATTGTTTATAGTAATTTTGGGTACTATATATATGCATGGGTCTGGGTCTACTGTTTTGTGATTGTTCTTCCAATGTTTTTTTTTGTAGC